GCCGCAGGCAGGGCTTCCCGCCGTTCCGGCAGCTCACCTGATGATGTAAGAGGACTGCATGGCAGTGAGAAAAGCCAGCGGTAAGCCGAAGCCGAAGTAATAGGGCCAGTTCCTCTCGATGTTGGATAACCGTTGGTGCATTTCAATTCCTGGCCGGGATGAAGAAAAATCCCACGGCAGTGAACCCAGCGGCAGGAGGAACCCCCGTCGCCCCTTCGTTCCGTGTCTCAACCGCTCCCCGCAGCGGGGAAGACCGGGCCAGGCGGCGGGAGCAGGCCTCACCTTTGTTGAACCAGCGGTACTCGAAGCAGTAGAGCGAGTAGAGCAGCGACATGTGGAGGAGGCTGATCAGCTGCCCGACGATATCGATGGGGAAGAGGCTCACGATCATTCCCTGGGGAGCAAAAATGTGCATGAGCCATCGGGAGAGGTGAACAGACCCCAGGGTGAGGGGTGAGGCCAGCCCAGTTCGGGTTTAAATCTCACCTGGATGAGGAAAAGCGCCTGCAACAAGAGGTTGAACAACATGTCGGCAATGATTTTACTGACGCTGGGAAAGGGGTGAGGCTTTCTGCCGGAAACCTCAAAGGCCAGATCCGCGATGTCCTGCGGAAGGGGAAAGGGTTAGCGCGATTCCGAGGAGGAACTGGGAGCTTTGGGGAAACGCAGGTTCCCATCACCCACCTGGAACCAGATGGCATTGACCACCTTACTGAGCACGAAGAGGGGCAGGACCCAGAGCGCGCTGAAGATGGAGGTGAGGATGAACTCCAGCCAAGACCAGACGTCTCCGTGTAAGGAAGGGTCACCTTTGGGAGACGGGACGCCTGAGGAACCGCTGCGGGAACCCTCCTCCTCTCCCATCGCAGGCGTTCCCCGCCACAGCCCTCTCTGCGCCATGGGCAACTTCCAAGAGAAGTCCCTGTCCTCAGCTTTTGCTCTTTAAAGGAACATTCCCACCCACCTGCCGCTTAGGCACTTGTAAAAACATCCCGACAACGGCCCGCGAGCGGCGAAACCCGGGAATATCCCAACAAGGGGCCGCGTTCTGAGCGGTGCATCTCAGACACGCAGTGGGGTTTTCCACCTCTCCGATCCGCGACGAAGCGATTCCTGACGGCCTCGATGAGGGAGGAGGACAGCGAGGCAGGGAGGGAGCGGTGCGAGGAGCAGTTCGGCGGGACAAAGCCTCGGCAGTCTCTGGCGGGCGTCAGGACCACCCCCCACCCCTCCCCAGGCGCTCGGTGCCGGCACTTACCGATGATCTGTGCCGTGACTGACTGAAGGACGGGTATAAATACTCGGTAGAACAAGAAGAGACTAAGCTAAAGGGAGAAAAAAAACCAGAAAGGGTTCTGGGTGAGGCTTTGCAGGGTCATATCTTCGGTCCTCTAACTCCCAATCCGAAGAGAGACCCTCGGCCCGCTCCACCACGCAGCGATCCATAATGATGGAGAACTAAGGATCTCTGAATACAGCCCAAAATCTACAAGGGAGCGCTTTGCTTTCAACGTTTCCACCCCAACACCTCGTACGCTGCCACGGGCTGACAGAAAAACAAAGAGGGTGACAAATCAGGCTGCGGAGTGCCTGCTCCATCAGGGGTTAGCTGCACGGAACAGCAGCAGTAAGGAAATCTCCTTAGGATCACAGACCGGTTTGGGTTGGAAG